TGCGATAGAATGTTTGGATTATTTTTCCAATATTCCATTGTGATTTCACTTCGGTAAAAAAAAATAACACTGGCCGTTCCAACACCGGGGTGTGTCAAGTTTTTTTTTTCGAGTAAAAAACCCTGGCCGATCAAAAATCATGATATATCAAACTATAAGTTTGCGGTGGCTATAATTATATATATTCTTAATCTGGAGCATCAGCTCTATCCAATCATACCACTTTTAACCCTGAAATCGAGGGATGGTATACTAAAGCCGGCCCGTTTCTTTTAGCGTTTTTAAAGTTTGTAGTAAAACTGAATACCAGGTATAGCCTCTAGTTTGCACATTATTAACAACAGTTACAAATTTTAATTCTAACTTGAAGTATTTAATAACCAGTCACAGGCCATATTATATCTGCGCAGTGTGTGTGCAGCTGTTTTAACATCAGCTTCATATTTTTTAGAATTAGTGTTTCTTTCGGTGGTAACTGTTCTTAGTCGACTATATATCCGTGTTCTTACCAGTTTTTTTCAACCGTAATTATAAGTTTTTGATATTTTTTCAATTCGCTGATATTTTGCCGCTTTGCATACTACTGCTATAAAAACTACGATCGTAATCAAGTTTTTTTATTTCAGGGTCCCTGTCGCAAAACCGACAGTTGGAGCAAGATGATAGGCCCCTGTTAGCTAAATGCCTTTTCAGCTTGCAGTGGCCGGTGTAAAATGCGACCAGGGTCCTGAGTTTGTTTCTTGGGAGGTTTATTAACGATTTGAACCTCTTCTGGTTCTCCGTGCGCTCGCTGCCAATACCTTTCCCTGCACACTCTTTCTTCCTTGCGGAGCAGCTCCTTTACGGGGGTATGGGGACCCACCCCAGTGACCGGTTCGGGCCCAACCATATTGGTGGAGGCTGCGGAACGGGCTAGTTCGTCAGCCAGTTCGGTGCCGGCTATACCCCTGTGACCGGGCACCCAAGTTAGGTGCACCTGGTTCTTTCCAGGTAGGTTGTTCAGCCGTTCTCTGCACTCCTGCACCAATAGCGATTTGATCTCATAAGAGGAGATCTCTTTTAGTGCCGCTTGACTATCGCTAAGTATAGCTATTCGCTCGTTRCGATAGTTGCGGTGGAGGTTTATCTCTATACACCGACTTATAGCCAAGACTTCAGCCTGAAAAATACTCGGAAAACTTCCCATCGGAATGGAGAACTTCGTACGCGGACCTGCAATACCCGCACCTATTCTTTTCGACGTTTTCGAGCCGTCGGTGTACCACCTCAATGTGCTATCCCTTAGCATTTGCTCAAGAGTGGGGTCGTTCCACTCACTCTTGCTACCGAGGGTAACCTTAAACCTTTCCGTGAAGTGAGTTGTTTTGGTAATGCCGTCCTTTGGGAGGAGGGCAATAGGAATGTCGCCACTTATCCTCTCCATTCTCTGGGACGAGATTATCTTGCCTTTGCCGCATCCCTCTCATGTTATCTGCAGAAGTGAGTGCTTGGCTACTTGACCTATCATTATATGGAGCGGTGTGAGTTCCAACAGGACCTCCAGAGCTGCCGTCGGACATGTCCGCATAGCGCCCGTCATGCAAACACGTGCTAGCCGCTGAAGCTACGATAGTTGGGTTACCACCGTTGCCTGCAACGCTTCAACAACAACAGCGCTACGGAGGCAAAGGACACCGCCCTGAATGTAATTATCGGTCGCACAATCATGGTGTACAACCACCTAACCATCTTTGGCTTACAGCCCCAGGATTTACCCGCCAGCCGTTTGCACACCATTAACGCTTTTGTTGCTTTGACCAGCGTTTGGTTCACATCCTGCTTCCACCGCAGGATAGAATCCAGCGTAAGACCCAGGTATTTAACCTTGCTAGTCATCTCGATCTCTCTGCCCCCAAGTGTGAGGTTCCTCAAGCCGGGTAGGGACCTGCGCCTTGTGAAAGGCACTACGGTTGTCTTTGAGAGGTTGATGTTAATTCCACTCCCCCTGCAACACCCCTTTGCCAGATTTAGACCTCCTTGCACCAGGTCACAGAGAGTATCTTCAAATTTGCCTCTTGCTATTATCACAATGTCGTCCGCATACCCTTGGCAGCGGATCCCATTATCAGTTAGCAACGCTAACAGTTCGTCAACGACAAGGCTCCATAGTAGTGGTGATAGCACACCTCCCTGTGGACAGCCTCTTGTCGCACCCAGACGGATCTTTGTTTCACCTCGGCGATCCTGGTGCGCAGCACGGCCTCTATCCATCTGCGCACCAGTGCTGCAATATTTCTTCTCTCCATCGCCCTGGCTACACTCTTGTGAGATGTGTTGTCGAAGGCACGTTCGATGTCTAAGAAGGCACATATCATCACCTCCCCTTTCTCCAGTGAGCTCTCTATCTCCGAGGTCAACTGGTRCAGAGCCGTACTGGTGGATCTTCCCGCTCTGTATGCATGCTGAGCAGCATGCAGGGGTGTAGTCTTCAGCGCCGTCGACCTTATATTGTGGTCTATGATCTTTTCCATAGTCTTCGTCATCAATGTACAGGTACAATCTCCATCCTCGTAGGTCACCTTTTTCCTCTAACTGGCTGCTGGCGACTAACCAGGCCGCGATGCTAAGGCCCCGGTTCTGGTTCTTAATCAGCCCCAGGGCAAACTCTTACGGCTTTTCATCGCTGCGGGGGAGGAACATTGTCATCCTGTGCATGACCGGCAGATCCTCCGCCCTTTTTGCACAGAGGACAGGACCGGTCCAGCCTAATAGCTTTGGGGCAAATTCCCGCAGCCAGTTGACGGACAACTCGTCCATACAGTCCACCTGTAACATGCCACCTCTGAATTCTACCTCAAGGAAGGACGCCGCGTTTTCATCGCCTCTGAATACTTGTTCCAAGAGAAAATTTTGGAGCACCGTGAGCTGCTCCGACTCCCGCAACTCTGCGGGTAGTTTTGAGGCAGCAAAGCCATGCGGATGCCTTTGACAGCATCCGCATACCTGCGCCACCCCTCCTCCACCCGGGGGGAGCCGGGCTGATGGTTGGTCTCCGGTCGCTCTCGAGCCGCCGTCTCTCAGCCTTTTGGAACTGGGGGGCTCCTGTGGTGTGAGCTGACGACTCTTCCGCTTTGCGGCCTGTGCATAGGTGAGTGCCTTCCCGTCACCCCGCATTTCGGTCTGTGATACACTAACCTGGCCACGGTCCATAGACCGGCTGCCTTGCGCAAACCCAGACGTAGTACTGTCACATTCCTTTGTGGGGGATGCCCTAATATCTGCGTATCTCCTCTTGGCCAGGGATTCCGCCGCTTCGGGGTTTATCCCGTCCCGGAGGTACCGTAGATACCACTTAAGGCAGGCACCGCTCATAGCCTTCCTTCGATGGTCATCGCACCCGCCTGGTTTGTCTGCTGTTGGGAGAGATCTCTCCTCCTACGCCTCCTTCTCCTCCTGCGTTCACCACCGGCCTCTGCCCGATGAGACTCACTCGAGTCTAAGTGACTAAGTCTATTTCGGGGGGCCTTGGTGGTGCTTTGGGTTGCATCCGCGGTCATAGTCGCTGCTGTACGCTGGGCGCTGTCGTCAAGAGGGCAAGAGGGCATTTCGTCATCATCCTCCCTGGCATGCTCCTCAAACAGCGTCCGCTCTTCGAGGCGAGAGAGCATCAAGGTAGCTGAACCTACGCTTAGCTCCTTGACCTTCCCTGCCTACAGCTGCGCCTTCTGCCTTCTGCATTGCCCTATCGTGTTCCGTAGCGGTGCTAGTCAGTACCACCCACACCGGTTGGGGGGTTCCGAGTATGCCTTGCGTATAGCCTCTGCACCGCGGCAAGGTGCCTACCATTAGGAGAAGCAAAGGCATTCAAGACAACGCTATAATCTTCGAAAAAGTTATTTAGATCAAACCATTATAACTGTTATACAAACTGATCGAAATCAAGTTCTTGCCATTCGGCTCTAAGTAACTACTTCAGGATTGTTTTCTGTCGCTATAACAACATCAAATTCTTGTAAGGGAAACTTGAAAATGTGAGAGGTATGATGTGGTACTTAAAGCGAGTTCTGCCTACAGGATCAAATCGCTACTGGTGTAGGAGTGTATAGAACGACTGAATAGCATAGCAGAACGTTATCTTGCGCACCTCATCTGGGTGCCCGGTTACAAAGGCATATCATGTAGGGAGAGGTATTATTAACAACTTCATGTCATGCGCCATGCCAAATTATTATTGGTTTGCTGTTATAATCTCAATTAGCACTTATATAACATCGGTCTAGCTTCTTGTGCAAAATGCCGGTTGTGCGACATGGAGCATGAAGCTCCAGAACACCAGAACATCTCCTAACCGATTGATGCAGGAAAAAGGCCTTGGATCCATATTTTCAAATGAAGATCAGAACGCCTTAATAGCACATAGCAGTATATTGGAATTTATCAATATGATGGAACCAAGTGAGCCTTTGTGACTAAGGAAAGGAGACCTTAGGTCGCGGCATACCTCATTTATTAATCTTTTTATTTAAAGGTATGATGGCTTTAGCCATTTTGTTTTTTTTGTGTTTGTTCAGAACACGAACGTTGACTGCACTTGATTTATTTCTTTTGCATTTAAGTAGACAAGAAAATTATTCGTGCAGAAAAGTCTAATTTCAGTATATTGTGCATATCAGTTTTATGCACGTTATTTGTTAAACAATTGGGCTAAATACGCAAAAGAGTGAAACGTGTTTTTGCTTCTGAAAGTGTAATTATTGAAATAAATCCGCAGAATATGATAGATATCAGAGAATTAAGTTCTTCAATTTGTAGGGGGTGTAATTTATCTCAGATTCGAACTCATGACTTTTAGAGTCTGAAGAGTAACTGAAATATGTTGGAATTTGTTTTTTAATATATAAGTTTTGCAGCATTCTAAACTTCTCTATTAGGGTAACATTAACGTTTAAAAATCAATTTAGTTAATACGTACTTAAATCTTTAATCAGCACATGTACTAAAGTATATTTTATTAATTCTAGGTATGTGCAGAGAATAATGTCAATCCAAGAAATGAGTGCTCGAGCATACGCCGATTTTTTGTACCAAATCAAGTGTCCTAAAATGACGCAAATACGATAGACTTCGTTATTTGTATGAAAACAAATAAACCAAAAGAAAATATAAACTAAACTAATAACTATTCTAATACCAATTCAATTACAATATTGAATTTCAATAGTAAACTTAAAAAGTGTACAAAACATATGTTAAATATGTATGCATTCAAAATAAAAATGAAAATTTAAGCCGTATGGACAGGGTGTTGCAGTAATATAAATTAGATATAACACTACGACACATGTTACACGAGGGCGATAAAAGTGTCATTAAATAAATGCATCGCAGCGGCAAATAACAACTCAACAAAAAATTACCCATAATATTAATATAACATTTCAAAATCCTACTGAGCCGGCAAAAGAGCAAACTATAGAGAATCAGACGTACGCACAATGCTAGCAGCTAATTTACCAGTATGTCAATACGCTGGAATGGTAAGATGTTGTAATATTTTGAATTTGTGTTCATAAACCTCTTACATCTGAAAGAAATTCTATATGTTACCCAAAAATGTCCGGTTTGTAAAATGACGAGACACAATATGAAATATTTTTTGTCTTAAATCAAACTATTTCAACTTTAGTCTTATAACTCTACTTAGTTCCATTATAAGATATGTATCTTAACTGCTAGTAGGTGAAAGCTTTTATTAAGAAAATGATTGACAGTTATGCTACAAAGAGCGAAGTAACGAAAGAGTAAAGAAACAGAAAACCAGCTGAAACTAACAGGAAGATATCAAAATGTTATTTTTCACAATCACTTCATATCAACACTCCAAAATCAATCAATAGAAGTTTAATTTGCACAATTTAAAAAATGAAAGTAAACAACACCAAAATGAATGCGTTAAATATCGCTTGCTGTTGTTGTAGCGGCAGAATTCTGCCGAGTTAACAGTCCTAGGCCGGATAAAAATCCGGTTCTGTTCCGGTTACGTAGACTCGACTGTCGTGGGTCTATCGCATGTATGCATAAGTGCTTTAATAGCTGTTTCTTCATATGGCACTAGATATTTTCTGCTACTAGAAAACATCCGTTTGAAGGCAAGCTAAATTGAGAAGGTGAAACTTCTCCTTCACAGGGTAGTGCGTTGGGTTTGGGACCCGCCATGTAAAAAACACTACCAAGGAAAAGATGAAAACAGCCTGGGATGAGAGACCCCCCTTCTGATGACGGCCTCTGCAAATGTGTTAAGGATAACGAATTTAGGGCATGCACAAGGAATGTCCGGTCCCTTAAGTGGGAAGGTGCCTCTGCCTTACTGGTTGATGTTGGTTGATATCTAGCCACAATCCGCATCAAAGCGAAGTTCTTCAACATATGGCTGATTTGCGCCCACGCCCCGACGGAATAGAAGGACGATGACCAAAGATGCCTTGGCGACTTAAACGCCAGAGTGGGCAAAGAAAGTATATTTGGCACTTGGTCGTTGCCAGTGTTTTAAATGTGTGTACGCTACGAGGGTCTGCGACAGCCGGCTCTACGCAACGAAATTGACCCGTATTTTAACCGACCAAGGCCTGTTTTTTCGGCGTTCTAACCGGATCGGTTCGGTAAGTGTTGTTGTTAGGTCCTAACTTGATGCAGCCAAGATTCGCAGCCGCGTCTGTGCATCAAAAAACGCACGTCAACAAACATAAGAAAGATTCGACATTAATCAGGTTAATAAAATAAATAGTTTATTATAAAAACTTATAAACTGTTTAATTCTTTATTCAAAACTTAATAAAACCTGTAAATATTCAGAATTTTTAACTCATATGGTAGCATGAGTAAAAATGTCTTAGTATTTTACCGGTACCTTCCAAACGTCTAGGCATTGAATCTATTAATTTTTGGCAAAAATTGGGGCTTGTTCCAATCCAATTTTAAAACTCTTTTGAACAAATTTGGTGATTCCGTACTTTAGTTTCTAGATGGGCTTAAAGATTTTCAATTAAATTAATGTCGGAGCTTTGTGGCGGTGTTGGGAGATGTTTTCTGTTGAATAGAATTCACATTTTAACATCATAGACTGTATGTTTCGGGTCATTGTCGTGTTGAAACAGTACTGGAATGTAAATTTGCCTTGAGAATGGATAAATAATGATACTTATTCATTTTCCCGCCTATCAAAACGAGATTCCCGACTCCTTGAGCTGACGCGCCGCCCCCACCATGACGGAAGCACCGCCGTTGCTTTGACGTTTTTGATATTAAATTCTTCATTTGGTTTCCGCTAGACCATCCGATCCAAAAATGTTATACCAAATATGCTGTAGTCACTTAATAGTATTACTTCTTTACCTTTAGATATTTTTAATGTGCACAAAACCACGATCACACTCGTAATGAATACAACTAAAACTAAATTCAATTCTAATATGCACTAGCAACCCTAGTATAATCGAAAAGTAAACAAAATTCGTTTCAACTAGTAGAATTGCAAAGGAAAGCAAAGTTCTTTTGTGTCCACAGAATCTTTTCTAAAGAAATTTGGATATATAAAGATATGCATTTAAATAAATGAAATGGCCTACTTTAACCACTGAAAATTTCAATGAAAGGAATGGTAATAGTAGGGGAACCTGGAGTACTAAGTTTGCAGTTACTGGAGCTAGATTGTCAAGATAAGGTTTAAAAAACAAATAATGTCTAGGTCAAGTGTTCCATTTTAGTGGAGGGAAGAGCGGGTGATTAGTTTGAAAATTGTAAAAAAAACACAAAAATACTGAAGCGCGTCAGTCATTTATGGTATATACACGTATTGTATTTCTGATAGTAGATGTATATTAATCTGACAATTCAAGGGAGAGGAGCGTAATGAGAGGTTAAAAAAAAAAAGTTATTCGATCGTGTCAGATTTTCAAAGCGAATGTTAATGAACCTCTAAAAGGTGTGCCATAGATATTTCAATAATTTATTAATATGAAAATAGATATAAATATTAAAAAACTTCACTAATTTTTACAGGGTGTAATAAAAACAGTGTATACATATATACATATGTACAGATAATTAAATAATTTATTAATATGAAAATAGATATAAATATTAAAAAACGTCAATAATTTTTACAATGGATGTAAAACTGATCGCTGTAAACGAAAAAAATAGAAAACACCACAAACAAACAAAAGTGTCAAGCGTCTACTAACAACAACCACGCTATAGTGATCAGCTGAGATAGCATGTTGTTGTTGTTGTAACGGCAGAATTCTGCCGAGTTGACAGTCCTTGGCCGGATAAAAATCCGGGTCCGTTCCGGTTTTCGTAGACCCGACTGTCGTTGGAATCCTGAGATAGCATCATAGCGGACGGCTAGTATGAGGACGGTGCGAGAAATTGAGAAACAAACAAAAGTGTCAAGCGTCTTCTACACACCTACACACACACCTCTCAGCATTAGTACAATTGACCTTTTGTCGACGATTTTACCTGTGTCGCCCCGTGGAAACTGTCAGATTATAGGATTTAAATAAAAAATAAAATTACCTTTAAAATGAAAAAAAAAATCTATCGCGCTCGAGTAGTTTAAGGTGACGTATTTTTTTTTTTCTATTTTGTCACCCTGCTATTTCTTTAAGTCATCCTCAAACTGTCAGAATATTGAAATATACACTCGTCTTCATGTATTTAATTTACCATCTCTTAATCTGACGCGCTCGAGTTTCCCGAAGGATCAATTTTTTTTTCTCTAATCTGACGAACTCCCCCCAACGCACCCCTCCATATTAAGGGCTCATATTTGGTAGGGGTACATAAAAAGGTGCAATGTTTCTCCCCATAAAATTTTTTGACACGCTTTGGTAACTTCGAAAATCCCCGCTTGGGCTCCCCTACTATAAGGGTTATGCAAAATACTTCTGCAATGTTTTGTTCTCAACTAGCAATTCAATTCATGTGAACTCTGTGGCCAGCAAGTTTTTTAGTTTCAAAACGATACTGCAGGAGAAGACAATAAAGACAATGAAAATCAAGTCATATGGCAATGAGTGCTAAAAAACATTTTACATTTTTTATGCAATATATTTGTGAGCATTTTTTGTATTTATTATTTGTTTTGACTTCAGAATGTGCTATTTAAAAAAATGCATAGTAAAAACCATTTTGCAGTAATTGCATGATGCACTCGTTGCGTTTTAGGTAGGCAATAAAAGCAATGTAGTTGTAACGGCTATTTAGTTCTCGTTATTATGATAAGGTTCAGATATGTTGTCATTGAGGTCATCCAACGTTAATCCTAGAAAACGTTCTGTTAGAAGGATAGGGTTAGTTGGTACTCAAAGAGGTAATTAGAGTCAAGCAGAAACTTATTGCATGTTGGACATATATTTGGTATATCAAGCTCAATTCTGGATAAGTAAGAGATTAACTTGCTACAGTATCCAGAACGAAGATGCGCAGAAGGCAATGTTTAAGACTGCCTTACAAGCATCAAAACAGGATATACTGTTTGCTTTGTTGATAACCTTATATCACGTTTACTAAATCAGCGACATTACTTCGATCAACTTTATTCAGTTGTTGGCGATGAAGTGTTTATTGATGGTATAGTGAATTTAGTCGAGGTCGTAGATGACTCCAAGACGGATGTTATGAAGGTTGTTGTTCCGGAAACTATTGTTGCTGTGCTAGAACTTCGCAGAACGCAATTCTCACAACAGCCTGTTCTACGTTACCGTAATTGACCCGGATTTTATCCGACCAAGGGCTGCTATTTCGGAGTCTTAGAACAAGATTGTAATCACTGAAGCAACGTTTTTAGGGTTTCTCCGTAGGTACCTGCTGATGACAGCCTTACCCCACGGTACTCAAAAGTACAACGGATGAAATAATTGCGTTGATTAGCGCGCTGAAAATGCCTGGCATGTGGCCAATTGGCAGTGTGGAATGGACACACTAACCACATTGGTAGGGTATGGGTCCGGCACCCGGTTGAAATGCAACTCCACATCGAACTGACAAAATGTCAATTCTACTCGCATTTGGGTATAAACCACCACGATACTCCTGGAGGCGCCAGTCCGCATGAGCAGGTTGGAGTTACCTCCAAGGGCTCCTGCTCCCCGTGGTACCAGAATTAAGCCAGTACAGTCCTTGGACAGTCGGGGTTTGTTTCGGTTACGTAGACCCGACTGTCGGCGGAGCTGTGACGCTAACTTCTTGAATCCCCTCTGTCGTCTCAAAATGCTTGCTTATCGACGTTTTTATGCAAGGAAACAAAAAGAAACGTCTGGAGGCTACATACGGGCTGTAGGGCGGCTGCGGAAACGATGGTATGCCGGCCATGGATAGGCCGTTGTCGTGGTGCAACTTCTAATCGGCTGCGATGTCTTGTCGGGCCCGATTAATCCTTCTTTTGAGTCTCTTGAGGACTTCTACGTAAAACTTAGCGTTGACGCTTTGTCCAGACGGAACAAATTCATGGTGGACGATGCCTTTGAAGTCA